GCATTTCATTTCATTTCACTTCCGAACAAATATCTGAATTTCTTGATTTTCAGGTATCAACTTTTTCTTGAAAGTGGCTTTTTGGAATCTCAAGCGTTCACTAGTTAGTTCTTTGCTTCTGACGGTTTTCGACTCAACAGTTCCTTTGATTATTTTTATGGTTTTTGGAATTTTTGACGTCGAGAGGTCGTCGTTTTTATTTTGCTCCTAAAATGCATAAATAAAATATTATAATATTAACCAAGCACTGTCGTACCTTTGATTGCAAAACGTCCCATCCGCTGTTTTTCAGTTTGGCCACCTCTTCAAACAGCCCGTTTAGCTTTTCGACCTCAATCGACACTAATTGCCAGTATCCTGTGAGGTCCAAACAACTGACCGGAAATGGATCGTCAACGATCGGGTGCTGAAAAAGACAAGCGACAGGTTAAACGACTGTACTGTTTAATCGATTAGTAAAAAATCCACCAGATTTTTTTCGACCAGCTGTTCAAATTTTGCAAACTTCTTTTTTAACAGGAGCTTTGTCTGACCGATTGCCGCGTTGACTTCACACACAGCTGAAATGCGCAAGGATAATAATAGCTAAAGTAAAAATTTAATTAATAATTAATTGCATGCAGGAATTGTCGGTCTCGTCAGCGCACCTTGGTGGTGCCTATATGCAAATGTCAAGGCAGGGTTCCAAGCACAAATATAACCCGGACGAAGGGAATTATCTTTACGAAGAATTCATTAAGTTTGCTTGCACGGCGAAAATGCACATTTTCCTTGCTTATAGTCACGTGTTGGGATCGAACTAGAAGTATCACCTTAGGGTTACTTAATTTGTTCTTTAGCGGCATGACTGGAAAGCTGTCATTCAGCCCCAAAACATTTGTCATATTTTATTTTTTTCATTCAAGTTATTAAATTTGTTTATATCATGCATAGAGAGATGATAAGGCCTGCCTGACATATGATATCGTAGGCGAATAACATGTGACAATATGATCTTCCCTTCAGGGAGATGATAAACAAACACACAAGGATTGCTAACGTTTTTACCACCAGGTTCTTAGATTTTGCCATTCATGATGGCCTGTCGGACCAGCATGTCAATCAAAAGAAAAACATAAAAACCGAAGTACCATAATTCCGGCTTAAGTCCTTCGTGCGCTCAATTCAGAACTCATTATTCTTTCCTGACTGTGAGGTAACAATTGGACGACAGATTTCAAAGGCTTGCTCAGTTAGTGCCAGTCGCGTGGCAAATGAGCAATTCAAAAAGGTGGACTTCATTCCGTGACTCTCCGGGCTGTCCTTTGACCGGATGTCAAGCAATTTTGCTACGGATGTGTGTCGTCATACTGCTTCGTACTGCTGATAACCTAGTATTCTGAGCAACACTTAGTCGGATCCTGTGAAACAGGGTGAAAAATTGATTATGTTAGGTTTCTTGGCATTCCGCATTATGTCATACTTTTCATAAGAAGGTGAAAATGTATGAGGAAAGAATCATCGTTAAGAACAAAGGAACTGATGCGACAAAAGCGTAGCATATTACAGGGTGGCGACATTCTTTGTTTGACTGAAGGAAAAGAGAAGCTTCGATGGTACGATGCAAGTTTTAAATTATCCAGCTCCGCATAAATTGGAATGCAAACCATCAGATGTACAGAAACTTAAGGAAAGCCATACCAAGGCATCTCAGGACCAGATGGAAGAAGGAGCTTATGCAAAGCGCATTGGGTTGTATCCCTGGATCTCGCTTTCCATTGCTCTCATGCAGCTGAATGATCACGGTGCCCTACTGTACACAACTTTAGTCCTCCACACCACGGCGATGAGGTTTAACGTCCTTAACACCGTTGGTCATGTAGGCTACAATTAAACGTTTACTTATCTACGGGGTCTAACGCAGAGGGGACCAGTACAAGTCCAGCAGGGACTCTTAATGTCAAATGAACTCGTATTACTTCTACGAATTATTGGTGTAATTCAACCCCTGGGACGATATTGCGTTTCTCATGTTCATGTGAGGTGCTTTTAGTCGTTTCATGGTTTGCAAACCTTTCGGTTCATGTTAAGGTTTTACTGAGTCATAGCCGATGGATATCACAGACAAAGTTTTAAGCATCGTGTTGAGGCATGACTGTCATCGGCTGGTCCGACAGAACCCACCCCACCAGACTGCTCATCTGTGCATTACTGATTTTGAGTGGCTGTGTCTTCAGAGAGCCTAGTATTTTGACTTCGTCAGTGATGATGACTCCAATGGTCCTATCCAGTGGCCAGACAAAGTTAGAAATACCAGGGGCATCGCCTTTAGCGATAAAACTGACGGCTATCGAAATCCCTCATTGAGTGACAAAAAGCAGTCACGTTATCTCTCTTCTTTCTTTTCGTCCATGACTATCCGATGTCCATCAGAAACCTGTTTGCGAATAACAGTGACAGTAATCAAGCTCAGCTGCATTTCAATTTGCTGGATGGCTTCTATTAAATCATTTAATCTTCAAAATCTATCATTTAATCTGCAACATCTGTGTTCGCAATTCCACCAGCAGCAAGTTCTTTCGTAAAGAACACAGAACATTACCCCTGCCCCTTCTCGCGACCAACAAGACCTCAAATTTCTAATGCATGCAAAACTTGAGTTCGGTTAATTTTGAGGAATAGGGTCACTGTTGGTCGAAGCGTTACCATTCTCCATTGGTACCTGCAAATTTCGTTATTTTGCTTTCCTGATTGACTGAAACACGAAGTTGTTTTCATTACAGTTTAAACAACGAGTTGATGCTGTTTCCAGCTTGGCTTTGCACCCGTTATAACGGTACAGGTACAGTTTGCTGCTTAAGCTTCATCGCGAAGGATGTCGCCTTTCAGTCATGTTCTTACCTTCTTCGTTTGGGATTCCCAGGTGCAGGTGCTTCTCTAGTTCATCACACATGGTTTCCAAACGTTTCCTTTCAGCTGCCGCAAGCTCTTTGTAGTATGCTCCATTAAAATCTTCTTCCTGAGCCACCTCTTTAAAGCCGGCATTATTAATGAGATCGATATAAAAAACACCATTTGGATACCGTAATCTTCTTGTTTATTGTGATGCTCTGCCCTGAGTAAAAAGTCGCGATTTTTCCT